GTTGCGTTTGAACAAAATTTGAGCGCAAACGTCGTTGCCAAGTTGCGTTTGAACAAAATTTGAGCGCAAACGTCGTTGCCAACCTGCCAGAGGCTGCGATCGGCTCTTAAGCGATAAACACCGGCGAACGCCTGACTCGGGAGCCCGGGATGTATTTATTTCTCAGCACCAACTCTGCCGAGTTGACTGAGACCCATTTTCATGACACATAAAGCGAAACAAGTTTGACGGGGTTTGTACGGGAAGACGATAAATCCAGACTCATTTAGACCGTTTGATTGTCACTTGTTCGACTGCGTAGCTGCTTTTGAGCCAAGCCATAATCTCGCAGCGTGGCTCTGACATCCCTCAAGCTGGTCCTCACCCGCTCGCGCAGGATCAGGCCCTCGTGACTCACGGGAGCTAAGGCAAGCCCTAAGTCTTTCCTCCTCCAAACCAGCGCGGTTTTTATTGAGCATCGCCCGATTAACGCGCCGAGCAGCCCCTGCTAATTAATGACCTGCACAGCCAAAACTCTGCAGGTGCCGTGTGCACCGGGAAAGCGTCCGTACTTGCTTCCCATCATGGAGAAAATTGGTTATTGGCTCTTTCCCAAGGCAGAACTTGCTCGAGCCGTGCTTTTTCCTTGGGTCTCTCTCCTAAAGAACTACAGCAAGCCAAGCCCTGACTCCTTTCCTGCGCTGCAAATTCTGCAGGCCGGAGCTCACAGCCACTGAAATCTTTTGATCGGTGATCACGATGCAAAACCAAATCACCGTCTCCATCCTTGCTCCACCTCTCCAAAACCTCGAGGCAAAGGGCACTCTCCATTGCTTCTTCCGTCTCCCCCCCCAAAAAAGACCCTGCTTGGGATGAACAAGCTTTGCAGCAGAATGGTTCAGGCAGCGACAAAACCCACCGGGGAAGGGGAAATGATCCACCCAGACAGGCGCCGGAGCCAGGAGGCTTCTCCCTGTCAACACAAGAGGCTGCTTCTGTCTCAGCCTCCCATTTCCATTCAGGAGGAGGAAGGCGGCAAGTTGTCCCTCCGTGCAACACGATGCGGCTTGGCTCCCAACTTCTGCAGGCTCAGCGGAGCTGTAATCTGAAGTTTGAGGCTCAGAGTAGCTTTTTCCCCGCTGCACGCACAATGTGGATGTGTGCGCAAGGGGGTACCTGTATCCCCAGCAGCCGACAATGGTCCTCACCTCCTCCCACACCCTGCAGCAAGGGAAAGGGCCCTTTTTCAGGCCACAGCTCATCCCAGCTGGCTCTCCGAAGCCTTGCCGCTGCGGTTCCCATCGGCAGGCTGCCGTTCGGCGATTGCCAGTGTCCCCGCTCCCCTGCCCGGGGAGGGAGGTCTGCTCTCCTCTTCCACTGCTGCGGGGAGTTACTCGCCCCCAGGGTAAAATACGGGGCCTGATTCTGCACAGCGCTGCCCGTAGGACAGATGCCCGTGAAGATGTCCATAGGACAGATGCCACCTGCCTGCAGCCTCTCCAAATCCCACCTGGAGAGGATGGGGTGGCCTCGCTTCCTCCGGAGTATACATTCATCTCATCTAGTGCATTAGAGGAACTCTACTGCGTCAAATACAGCTGTCCTTCACCCTGGTGTAAATTCAGAATAGCTCCATGAGTGTAACTGGACCCACCCTGTGTTTCCACCAGTGTCAGGGACTGGGAGCCGCCCCATCAACAGCAGCTATGGAGAGCCCGGAGCTGGCCTCTCCTCCCCTGCACGCTGGGGTGTAAACCCACAAAACTGATTTGTTTCATGCAGTTATTTCTGATTTACACCAGTGCGGGGACAGAACCAGTCTTCCTGAGCCGGCCTGACCCTTGCGTGACTCCAGTCCTGCTGGTCTGACTCCAGTGGGGAGCGAGAGCAGCCAACGGTGGAGGAGCACACAGCGGGGCTCAGGCCTCCCAGTTTCAAGCATTGCAATAAATCCGTTGAATACATTCTATGTCAGTGGCAATTTGGTTTCCCCTGTTCCCCCCCACCCTCCCCAAAACCCCCAACAAATCAGCATTTGAAGGATGACAGCCTGTGCGTTTGGCTGTGTCCATCACCACCATGGCTCCATCCCTACAATAATTCCAGAGGCAGATCTGGCTGTTGGCATGGTCTTCAGCTGATGACCATGTTCAAAATCTGCATTAACTCCGCTGGTCCTCAGGGAGTCACTCGGGGTTTACCCTTGGCTACAAGATACCAGAAAGCCAAATTATGGCCCCAAACCCATGCAAGGGCAGGATTCGGTGCAGTGTTGGGGGAACTTGCCCCAGCTCACTTTAAGCACCCCAAAGTGGAGCAGTTGAAGAGACAGACAGACGGACAGCCATCTCCAGAGGGCAGTTCACCCCTCTGAGGGTGCAGTCTCAGAAGTCATCAGCTTGGCACAGCCACCAGGCAAAGCCATCCTGCCCACCAGTTTCTGCTTTGGGTCCTCCTCTGCACTGGCACGAGGCTTTGGACAGTGCTGGCTCTGCTCTCTGAAAGTGTTGGCAAGAGTAGAAAAGAGAAGAAGAAGAAGAAGGAGAAGGAGAAGGAGAAGGAGAAGGAGAAGGAGAAGGAGAAGGAGAAGGAGAAGGAGAA